CTATGGTTGGAATTATATCTCGGCTCAGACATTATTTACCTACTCTTTAATTCTTCCACACCTTTCCTATTGTATTGAAATTTGGGGGAACACGTATACTACCGTACTGGAGCCATTACTCAAAGTAAACATAATATCAAATACGCAGTTACAAATCACTGGAATGCACTTCCCAATCCCATTAAAAATATCACACATAGACACATGTTTAAAAGTACATTAAAATTCCTCTTACTAAATGAGTAACATTCATTCACTCATTCATTCATTCATTCATCAACTTAGTTATTTATCTATTTATGTGTTCAGTTATCCAGTCATTTATTTATCTATTCATTCAGCCATTTACTAATTGATCAAATAATTGATAAAATATCTCATCAACAGTTTGTTATTTTACTTTACATTATTTCACTTATTTAATTATATTTCATTATATTTCTCAGTCATGCAGACACTTTCTCTGTATAACGCTCGGCGGGGACATGGACTAGACTATATCCGTTTTCCTCACCAGTTGCATTCCTACAAAACAATATTTTATTTATTACACAAATATATGCATTTCTGTACATTAGTATTTATTTAATTTCCTTATGTTACTGTTGAAATAAATTTCAATTCAATTTATACACGGGAATTCTAGGAAAAGCACCTCGATGTGATACAATTACACTTGAATGTCTGATTCTATCAAAACATATTCCATGTCCTTTGTTAGGTCGATTAAGATACACGTATGTAATTGAAAGTGAATCAATACAACTTCGTCCGAGATGAATATTTTGCAGCAGATGGCGCAAATAACATCATTTATTGCACAGTTATTGACATAAGAAGATAATTGTAAATATCTCCGATACATGTACTTTAAGGATTAATTCTATTACTTTCGTGCATATTATTAGAAAGATAATCATCAAATATTTGGTGTACAAGTAATTCTAAAATAATTACAGTAAATTGATCTAGGACAATTAATAACACTTTCCTGCTAATTGAATTCAACTTTCTTATAAATGACTATGACTACATATTCGAGCAATTTAATATTGGAAAATCGTTTTTTTTTAATTCCATCCGCCTGATCACTGTATATTGATAATATAAAAGTATCCCAATAATTTCGAACCTATGTTCTATCTCATCTTACATATGCAGTATGATGAAGTGTACGACATGCAAAATCTGAATGAATTGTATTTATTTTTGTTCGAAAATAAAACTTAAGTTTTTATTTAAATTCTTTCATGCAATTGTTTCATTTAAAATTGTGTGTACAAGTCAAATAAACTTAGTTCAAAATGCAAATGGAGTACACCTCGCAAATAAATAAACAGTCCTGCCACAATATGTTTTGAGCTAAGTGCAAACTATTGCTAAATTAATCTGAGGCGTCACTTGATGTTCACTGCTATTTTATTCTCGGGTGTGAAATATATATCTGTTTATTCGTTTAAAAGATTCCTCTCATTAGTAAATAGCGCCCTCACTCCACAATATTTAGAATGATTGGTTGGTCAAAAGTTTGATGAGTCAGGTGCATCTATTGGCTAAGCTTGTTGTACATAGATGCAAATGAGTATAGGAACCATCATTGCTGTAGGGTGTATTGGTAGGGGTGGATAATGACTGGTTGAATGCCAACAATAAAACACCCACAGTGCAAGGCTAGTTCACCAATGTGTGTGTGTGTGTGTGTTGTGTATATATATATTTCTACCTTTATTCTGACTAGTTAATTGTCCTTAAATGAACTCCACAAGATGATGGTCGGTGTTGATTCAAACAATAGAGAAAGACATTTAAATCAGCATATGCATGCACTGTAGTCATGACATAACAAAAAATGGTAATCTATTTCATTCAGTCTTTTAATTTTACATTCCCCGTTGTTGTGTATTACCTGTGCTATCATTTATAACCTATCAATTTTTAGCGATATTGCCAACTAGTGTTTTTGTTCAGAGCCCTGTTTGACAATATTTGAAAAATCATGACATTCTCAAGACATGCCATCGCTGTAGAGTCAGCTGTATATGAATTATATTGTTTAGACCTAGTCCGGATGTATTCAGTAGACATCATGTATTTTTCATTGTAAAATTTGAAGCACAAAGATGAGTTTGAAATCATCACATGCATGCATGCACAGTAATCATGACATACAACTAATATAACTGTCTTACCTTATTCAGTTTCTCAGTACCTACATTTTCTGTTGTTTTTATATTGCCTTTTCAGTGCCACTTGTTTAACGTATGAATCCGCGTATGCGTTATTTATAATCTATTTTTATCGATATTACCAAATAATCTTTTCAAACACTTTGTGAGTGACAGCTAGTATATTTACTATATTTAGGGTGGTTTCAGACATGGTAAATACAACTTGTATAGCCATAACTAATATTTATGCATTTTTGTTTTGTTTTTTATTCCTTTCGGTAATTTAGATGCAAAAAAGACAACAGGTTGATGTTATTTATATTACCTTAATTTTAGCATATAATTATAACGCATGATATAGTCTGTGTAGTCTATGTGATCAATTGTAGCTTCACGAACGTTAACGGGAAATATCATTCAATGAATTAGCATTTAATTGCGATCATCTACAGAAATACAGCAGCAATAGTAATTTCACATCTCTACCTAAGATGTCTGCAAGCCGGATGTCGGAATTATCTTGTGGACGCATCCAGAGTCAATAGATTGCCATAATGGTTTCTTTCAACTAAATAACTAATCACAAAAATATGGAGATAACAATCAAATGACAATTCAAACTCTCAACCTCTAAGTACAGTTTTGAATATTACATTTTATCTTGTTAGTTTCTTTTACCAGATGTCTTTACGCAGTGCTTATGGTTTATACAAATATAGAAGAATTAGTAATGATAAAATTATTTCCTCAGATTTTAGAAGATATGGAATATATTATAATAGCATGTATTCAATTTTAACTCCATTGTGTTCTGGTAGTTGGTGTATTAAATTTATGTCTTGTGCAAGGGCTCAGTATATTCTAACTATGTTTGGCATTCTTTTCAGTATATTAATGTGAAACAAATTTGACCAAAGTTGTACCATATTTAATTTTCCGTGTATAGTAATGCAAGGTGTGTTTTAAAACTTAGTCTTGTTAATCACTTTCAAATTAAACTGACTGTTTGAATGTGTGCGTGTTTACAATGAGTGTGAACCGTGTGTTTGCTAAATCAGCTTTTATTTTTTTAACTGAAATAACATTAATTATATAGTCTTTCGAAAAGAAACATTCAGATCCCAAGTAATAACTTAACCAACAAGGTATCGAAAGTAATGCAGTCTGATTAAAAAGTAAACTACAATTTATTAAAATTAAACATGACAGATAACCCGAACCAAAGTTTTGCTAGTGAAGGACTAGACTTAACATTCAAAATGTGTTTTGACATTATTACCTATGCATTATACCATTACATGTATAATTTCCTGTACAATATAGTATGTACAACCTGTATATTTTACCTTTACATGCATTATCACATTACATTAAACCGTGTTACCCTTATTACAAGCTGTAAATTAAACTGTGTTACTGACATAATCATCAAATTGTTACTCGCATTAACAGTATGTTGCGTTATATATCTAATGAATTGTACATTGCACTCAATGTACAATCCGTTATCTTCTGTACAGTCTACTATACAGTATACTGTTCACATGATCACCTGCGCTGTAACCCTTTTACCTCAATTATGAACAATCTGTACATTATAATGGTACTCCATGCTCAAATGTTTATTATACTGTGTTATTCACACTATCACCTGTACATTAAATAGATATTCCCATTATAATCTATACATTATACTGTTAATCGCTCATACTATTCCATAGATTATCACATGTACATTATACAATAAGACTATTTACTCACATTATCACTTGCCATTATTACACTGCTAATACAATTATCACCTGTGCATTATATTGTTTCTTTCATTGGCATAAGTACAATGTCTGACATTATACATTTTCCATTATTACACTGTTGTTCCCGTTATCCCCTCTACGTTATATGGATACTGTGTCACTTCTATTACCACCTGCATGGTATACCACGTGACGTGTGATATCAGTTGTGAATTGTACTGCAATACTTCAATTGTAAGGGATGTAGTATAATATATTACCCATACGTTACACCTACATGCATTATCACCTGTATTTTAAACTCATATTGCCACTGTTTATTATACAAATGTAAGAAAACATTATGTATGTGACTGAGTTTGATAACGCTTACTAATGACGAAATGGCACAGTTCCTAAATTAATAGAATACATAATACTAAAGTATATAATTACTAACAATAATTCAAAGGTATGTGTCATTTTCAGATGTGTGTGTTGGTACGTTACCGACACGATTTCTAAACAACCACCAAGTCAGTGCTTTGAAGATCAGACAAACGACCTTAATAGCTAATAGAACTAACATGTATTTCATGCGATACTGTGGAATGTCATATATCCAACAAGCGCCCTCATCGCCACATGCTGTCGTTTCCCAAAACACACATGTGGAATCAATTGTTGCTCCAATAAACACTGGCGTTGGAATCCAAACTGAAACAATGAGAAAAATAATTATGAGATCAGTATGTTGTTCTATGTTCTTAATTCTTTCAGATATTACGATTTCACCTAATTTGAAGACAATAATTTTAATCCAAGCTAAAATAAATTAATAAGTTGTATTAAGAATTATAGCAAACGCAGTATGTTGTTCTATATCCTTATTTTTTCAAAAAAAAATACGATTTTCACCCAATTTGTAACTGATTTTACAATAATGCTTGTAGCCTATTATTTCAGATTCTGAGTGGAAATTTATATTACATAGTTTCTACTGAATTCGCCAATCAGCAAATTTTGGATATGGTAATTTACTCTTGAACTAAATCTGACACTGACGTCATCAATACTTATGTATACACGCTCAGGTGAGTGCCACAGTAGTGATTTCTTGAATTGATTTGAGACACGCCTTGTCCGATTATGGTCAAAGTGGAAATTAAAAAAAAAGGATTTTTTGGCGGGGAAGTTATTTTGACCTTGCCTCCTACTTTAAATCATAAGGAAGAACCTTTATGAGTAGGTAATAACACGAGACTTAGCCACACTAAATACTTCTGTCCGGTGGTTTTACCTATACTTATAATCCAGTGACCCCAGTAATTGTATTGCGCATGCGCAATTGAGGTGATTACGAACGCTTACACAAATGTTTTACAAAGTCGCTTACATCAAAGGTACAAATCACCACAATCATCACGCAGCGTCTGTTTTACAACCGATGTATACGTCACAAAGAACCCGTATACAAGATAACGCGGCATGACGACTGTGGCGTTCGAACTAGTTGATTTACCTAATAACGTAGAAAACACATCTTGAACACCTAGTGCAAGCGTTTTATCTGCTGGGTCAACGCACCTACGAACAAACACAAACGTGACCGTCTATAAATGTTTCAATCACAGTTGAGTACACAAACACATTAGTATAGACATACATTCGTCTTATGTGAATTATGTGGGATGTATGTATGTATATTTTATCATACGTACGTCACTATTTTGTGCTCAGCAAAATACGCTATGTATTCTTTGTTACAAGTCACATGTGTTATAATCCTTGTACTGGTGCTTTTATTATTAAAGTTTTGGGGTAGTTGTTTGTGCTTTGGGTGGAAAAAGTCGCCGGGCTGGCCTCCAAGATGGTCACTAGCAGGACGATCCTACGCAGCAGAACTTGAATTAACACGAACTAAGGTTAAAGTCTCTTGTGCTAATGGGAGCGAGACATTTTTTTGGGGGGGGTTCTGTAATCTCAGTCAACGAAAACTGCGCGTGCGGACTTGGCACCATAAGATAGGTCACATTATCTGTGTGTGCGTTCGGTACATAGAACACATGTTCGCTATATAACCCACAGGGCATTTCAAATTTTAGGGGCAAAAGGTGTGTGTTTATGTACTTTCGTAATATAAAAAGTAACTACATAAGGGTGGTACACCTATTCCTTAAATGTCATGCCGTTCATAATGCCTTGTTAAAATTGGTGGGTCAATATAAATCTTCGGTATATAAAAAATAGTTTCAATTTCAGGTCAAAGGTGGGAGTAATAATTAACGTTTTTGTGTTGTTTTTTTCACATAACTTCAAAAATAGCAATCGTCTTTGATTATGGCACATATTTTGCATTTTAAGGTCAATGTTAAAGGCCACATTGTATGAGTTTATTGATTTATTTTTTTAACAAGTGGCTTCACTGTCCTAATCTTGCCATACACGGTTATTCCCCACCATAAAGGAAATATATAAAGCCACACTGATAATGATTTATTGTGATGTGACATTACTGATGTAATATTTCGTGTGATTTGAACTGCTGTGATGTGTCCAGTGTAGGACTTGTGTGAACTGGTTTTGTGCAGTTCGGTGTGGTTCACATATTCACCAAATAAGTTCAAACCAATACCTTAGAATTAGTTCCATCGTCATTGTTGCTGGAAGAGATCCGACAAAGCTAAACAGGCAGAATACAACAACAAACACAATAGTAATTTGATTGCTTTCTTCTTTGCATATACCTGGCTCAGCATAGCCAAGTATTGATATATCGTCCTCATTGAGAAGGTATGCAGATCCATTATTTATTGTATTGTTGTACGTCTCTGTATAGTTATCATAACTATTGGCCATCAGGGAATGATTACTTGTAAAAGTAGAACTGATCCTACTAGGGATATCACTGTTAATTGCGCCAGTACAGGTGCATTCATTGAAATTCTATAAAAAACAAACAAATTTTACAACGTCAAGGTTATTATATTAATATAAGATGAATGTATTCCCTATCAATGGTTTGGATAAATAAAATAAAAGCCAAACATTACCATTGCATATGGCATCGGGGAATCCAGTGATTGACATCCTGCATGGCATGGTGAAAGGTACGTTATTCCATCTGATCCACATACCGGATCAAAAACATCATCTTGACATATACATTCAGAGTTACAGGAAGTTACATTGTTCACATTGCTACTATTGCCATATAATCTGCAATAAGAAAATGTTCAGACTTAATTGATTGAATTGATTGATTGATTTATTTAAGCAATACACCATCACCCTCTAATTGCAAAAAAGAGCATGATAAAAGGGAAATATAATCACCATTCCACAGGAGATAATTTGAACCCCTTGTAAATTTATATGTATCACATATTTTACAGTGATAAAGCAGTACAGGATATGGATAGACCTTTCAATTGAAGGATTATTAACTCTATGCATATTTGTGTTCGTTACTGCACCAAGTTAAGTATGATCCAAACGCTTTTTTAATACACAGCTCCCTACAATTCAGAAAAGTTTTTCGGGTAAATATGCGCGAGAACATTCCAGCATTATATTACTACAAAGTATTTGGGCATAAATCGATCAATGCTCTCTTCAGTGCAAAAACCTGTTACAAAAACCCTTATAAAAGACCAGTGAATGTTTACAAATTGAAATAGCATATCCAACCATTGTCCTTTATCCAAAAGTCACTATCAAGAACTATTTTGAAACTGGGGATCCCTTAGCGGACAGACATACTAAACATGTATTTCATTCATTGTCTAACTTATTGTATCTAGTTGATGCTTGAAGGAGCCAAGCAATGTTGCGATAATAATATACAGAATCTGTAAACCCACTTGGGTATTTTCATTGAACATATGGAAGGTGTCCTTTGGAGGACTATATGTCTAGCATGTGATATGATTAAATTGACATGCATACATGCATTGGTGAAGGCACTGGTTTGATGGTACCAATGTGCAAGGGCCAGCAGCTATGTAAATCATTGCGTTTTGTTGGCAATTTTCCATGGATGATTTGCTTTCCTTCATAATAAACCAATCCACCCCCCCCCCCACCAAAAAAAATGCGTTTTTGTGCTCCATACAAGATTATGTCTCCCCGTGTTTATGGTAAATGTGTTAAAAAATATAGAACTAAATAGCAAAATTAAAAAATACGAAATACACTCAAAAAACACAAAAATACGTCACAGTTGCCAAACTAACTGTGTCGCCACAAGGTTATATCTATGTGATTCACAATGGTGAATCGTTGAAAGACCGGTGAACACAGCTGCATCATACAGGAGAGAATGAGGAATTGGCCTTGATTCTGAAAATGTTCATTTTTAATTACTACATTTATGGTCTGGATAACTTTTTAAAAAGTGACCCACTGTTTAACCATCTCAACACAAATTTACAAGATCAGTGTAAGTGATTGCTATCAAAAAGGAAGAATGCAAAACCCTCTCATCCTGTTTGAATTCCATGTCAACGTGCCATTGTCGGGTATTTTTTAATCTCAAGACATGGTTTCACCCCGTTTTTACATATATATATATATAGTGCAGATAGTGCGTCCATTTTAATGGGAAAACATATCGTGTATCTATAAAAGCTATTGTCAAATTAGCATATATAATCTCTTATTATTATGGTACACATTATTATCTGAACTCATCTCTCGAGCTGCAGTATTTAGCATATCATTTCGTTATCTTTGTTACCTCATACCCAATGACTTGTTTTTATTCATCAGGTACAATAGTATGATTATAGGTACGACTTTACCTAAATTATTATACTTGATATTGAAGACACTTGTCGGAACTATGTAGGGAGGTAGAGAATGAGTGGTCAGAGACATGCAGGGCCTATTTTTATATTTTGAAAAGTATTACTGTGAAAATATATTGCACATATGGGTCGGGAAAACATATTCAGAGGCACAAAATGATTCATTTTATACGAATTTATATCATCTATCTGCCAGATTTGCCAATTGCAGACTGCATTGCACGGGCACTAACAAATGTTTGTCAATGTATTGCTCACTCCAGAACAATTGACGAATTAACTGATATCATTTATGTTATTCAGAAAACTGACATTATATATATATCTACAATATGCAGAATTTTATTTTAATTTCTAGAAGTTATTACACTTAGTATTATTACTTGCTTTTATTTTTTTTAAATTGTTGGACCCAGAATAAGAATGCCATATTCAAGTTATATCGTGAATATATTTATATTTATCTTTGCTTAGAAGGAATATCTTAGCTTTAATTGACTTAATTTAATTGAATATTCCTATAAACTAATATAATACCTGGAATATTTGTGGCTATTGAGTGTGAGATAAATGCCAACAAGTTTAATGAGCCAACTTAGTAATATTCTAATATAAATACTAATTCAGATAAATCTGAACAAGATCAACCCAGAAAATTTCACAGAACCTGTGCAGCTTCACTGCGGAGAAATACTAGAGAACCATCATACAATGTTTATTTGAGTTGAACAAGACCTTTAATTCAGTTTTACAGGGTTCTTTACAGGGCATTTGATACCATGCAACAATATTAGAATATTTATTTTTAAGATACACACATAGATGCTTAAAGACATTATAATCAGGGGAATACTCAAACAAGAGCATAATCCAGAATACATTGGTACACGATATCACACGATGCAAATCAGTATTAAGTTCCAGTGAAAAAGATTTAAAAAAATGGAAACAATTATTATTATTATTATCTAAAATATGTCCATGAAGGTCCACGTGATGACACACTAACCTATTTGCGTATTCTGTATTGATGCCAGCAAATCTATAATTATCACATCCAATAAAGATCATTATGATAGGAAGTGGTACAACCAGAACAGCTGCAAGAAGGACATTTCTAGCTGTAGATACTAATGATGGTTTGTATTTCCGCATGAGTATACCTCCAATGAATATCCCAAGTCCGCTTGGTATAATAAATGCAAAAGCTGCAAAAACAATAGTAGTGAACATGGATTTGTCAGTAAGTCACACCACCCCTGTGTAATACATTAAGCAGACGTCTTCTACACTGGTGTCATTTGAGCCACGAATGATTGTGTGACACATGGTTTCAACATTCGCTTAATTGTCGTGGTTCTTAAATGGTTCTTAAGAAGATATTTAAAGGTTTAGTGCCATTTTCAGAATTATGGCTCAAATATGTACTGCCACTATTATTCAGACAATGAATTATGACGCCATAAATCACGTACTGTACTGAATATTTGTGACCTTATACATATTTGTTGATGCTGATCATACGGCTTTGAAAATACAAGAAACAAATCAAATGAATCACGCCGCCAGAATTATGAGAAGTGTATGGAATATGACAATTCACAAGTCATTTAAGAAGAAGACACTAAAGTGCAATAACCAAATTATGTGCATATTAACAACGATCTTTCGAGTCTACAAAGCATCGAAGACTAATAACTTACGAACAAGGATCCCCGCCATTGACATTGTAACTCTTAATTGGTCGTAAATGTATTTAACACTAAAAGGCGCGAATGCTGCAATCAGAGCCGTATCGACTATACGTGACATCATCACTGCCACGTAAGTCTTATTATAGATGAGTCTTTTCAGCGCCTGTGGCAGATCTGAAAATAGAAGAAGATTCATTGGACAAGCATTTCAATTAAGTGGATGGTTTATCGATATTGGATTATTTTAATTTCACTGAATGCAAGTTTGGATACTTTAACATGTATTTGATTTATTTATATTTATTTGAATGCATAAAATAACGAGAATTTGCTGCACAATCATTTGTAGCCCTTCAAGCAAGTTTTTTTTTCAAATCCAATAATCCACTGTGTAATAATATAAAGGTTATTGCTCGTTAAAGGGGAAAAACTATTAAAAAATGATTGTTATTTCATTCTCCCGCCATTGCATGGTAATGAAAGGTCATGTTTCTGTATTCGATCAGTTATGTAATAAAATTGACTCCCCTTTCAAACTGCACAATTTGTAAAATATGAAACCAAATTACCTTAATGGTGGACATATTCTTAAATTACAATCTACTATGTGACCCTATCGGATTCTTTATAGTGCACACAATATAAGCCAAATATAACATACCTTTCAGCTTCTTGTTCAAATCAGGAACGATAGTGTTGTTCTCAACTACTTCTTTCATTTGGCTACCTGAAATTCCAATCTTAGCATGGATCCTTTTCGGAAGTAACATAATCGATATTCCAATAATAATACACAAAGGACCATTAATAACGAAAGCGAGCCACCATGCACCGACCCAGCGTGGATCATATCGACTGATATCGATCATCGATGTGTTGATACGATAGAAATCTACGTACATGTTATTATAGACAGCTGATATTGGGAAAGCTATGAGTGGTCCCAGTGCATACATAGAGAACATTATACCTGGATTGAAGAATTCATCAATAATTAATAATAACCCTTGTAAGTAATCTCAAAATACAGAATGGTAGCAAAATAAAATGTTCAATATGAGGCTTATCATTTACAACAATCACATCTCTAGTAATGTAACCATTGAATACAGGTTGGATAGCGAAATTTACTAAAAACACTAAACAATTGACAAAAATAAAAAGTAAAAAAAAACATTTGACAAGTACATTACAAAATATAGTCAAATCACTCAGAGCATATTATATAACGATCATGATATACATGAATGGTTCACCATATTTCCTTCTGAGTCTTAATCGAATGGATTCTGTTTGAAATATGAGGTCTACATTAGACAAGTGACATAATGAGATCACCTTGGTAACAAATTTATTGTATGTGATCACAAACAAACAAATATCAAAGATAACATTTTCTTCAAAATCCTTGGTTTATAATTTCTGATGATAGAAGATTTTTTGAGCTGTGAAATAAACCCAAGGAAAAAGTGTGATGTTCCTGTGTATGTGTAGACAACTGATTGATGAATAAAATCTTCCTATTTGTTAGATGGTAAAATTTGTATGGTCAAATTATGGTTCCTAGAGTCAAATTCAAAGGCGGATATGAGTGTATTGAAGCAGGAAAAATGTCAGCATGCACTCTAATACTAATCTTACAAACTGAAATTTTGACAAATTCTGTATATTTCTATATATACTTTACCTATGTAGAAAGGGGCTTTATTCTTGGCAACATTGTCATCAATATATGTGATTCCAAGAGTGAAGAGTGGAGATATACCAATGCCAAACAGAGTTATTCCAGTGAGTATCAATATTAATAATTTAAGCTGTTCCCCATGCACAGCCTCTTCATTGCATACAATGGTGTAGTTAAAAGAATGTTCTGTTTGTGCACTGCAGAGCTCTGAGGTTTTCTTATGGCTGACGCCGTATTGATATGGTTCCGACATGAATTGCAGACTGCTGACAATGAGCAGACCTATACCTCCAATCACCATACCACTTCCTATCCACCGTGGTTTGTGGGTATCTGGTCTACCACCTATGTAGGTTATTAGAATTATAGGCAACAACATGGCTACGTCCATTACAGTAAATACAAGGCTAACTATAGTAGAGGGTAAACTGTATCGTTTCTCCCAATTGTTTACAGCAGATACCATCGCAGTGAAATTGACATTCACGCATAGTGTTGCTATCACGAGACCAGCCACTCCAAAGTGAGCCTTTGCGAAAACTTGCAGACACTTGGGGCGCCATGTTCTTATTCCGCAACTATAGTCGTACTCGTCAGTTTTAGACTGTGCAGAGACGACGTTGACAGGCATGTAATCACCCACATATTGTTCAGTTTCTGTTGGAATATCGCCGTTGCTGCTTTCACTATCCATGTTTATCTATCAAGTTTAACGGAAATAATACCTGCAATATTATATGTAATAATAATAAATTATTTTGATTAGATTAAAAATCCTAATAACTGTATCAATTTTTGAATTAACAAATAACTACAAATTATGCTGCAAATACAAACGGTTTGTGCTAGAAGTATGTTTTGTGTCTTAGATAAAGATCCATGCCTCTGGCAAAAGTATGTGACTATGAACATTTGTGTGCTTCGTGTTTTACCAAGCTATTCTTACACTCTATCTACAATTGTATATTAATGGTGAGATGAATTACATTGTAGTTCATAGCCACTCTCTCGTGTAATTTGATGCAAAGTGTATTATTACATCATTCAATCAATCTATCAATCAAACATTTATTTTATCTAATAGTGTATATTAGCAATTTACACCCAGTAATAGTATGTAAATTAGTTTATGAAATATATGGCAAAATAAATGAATTACACAGTAATAACATGAGGTTAGTACGAGGATACTTCAAGGTATTCACGAAGACAGTACAGCGGGAGTAACGACCGACGCGCAGCGGAAGTCGATACGATGGTGTACTGTCTGAGTACACCATAGTATTAACCTTATTATTATACATTTTTTACGTCCAAGGACACGTCATTTGAATGCCGAAATCCGAAAATGTTAAAACAGAATCAGCAAACATCTTTGTGTGAAGTCCTGTCAAACCCTAGTGACAGCCATGTTTGTTTGTATTATTGTAGGGCGCTTACGCACCTAATCATTCCATGGTTGGAATTCGCATTTCCTAATATGGTAGGATGAAAATACCCCGTAAAATACCACAAAATTAAGCAACGCTGGAACTTACGGTGACAGACGTTCTTCGACACTTATTTTCTCATCATATTATCAATATATTTATACAACGATTGTAATTTCCTACCAACCATTCGTCGTTTGTTCATAGTTTCTTTTTATATTTGTCAGTGTTTCACACGAAGTGAAAATATTAATTATAAATTCACCACGGGGTATGATGACTGGATGATGGTACGCCTTTTGGACGTCAACATTCATTGCTTTGCACAAATAATTCCGTGGAAACCCGCTTTGTTTCACGACAAACATGAATATACATTGAATCAGTTCACTTGTATCAATCATGTTTCATTGTGAAAATCATGGTAACTGAAATTAATTAATTAATTAATAATAAGTATTAAAGATTTTCCGTGTATTCCACAACAAAGTAAATATTCAGGGCAAAGGTATTTTTGTTAGCTGTGACCAGTTGTTTTCACTTTCGTAATAATGTAATTGAAATGAATAAAAAAAAACTTTCGTAAACATGGGCAAGGTGTAAAATGTAATCTTTTTAAATCGTCCGTAATTTGTACAAAGATCTTATTTTTTGTAAGCGTATAAAGCATTTTCCACTTAAAATGTCGTAATTCGTACGCAATGTCCATTATAAAAATGTAATTAGGAATTTGCTTTATCTGTAAAGTGTAAAAACCTTGAAACTTTCATTTCAAAACGTAAAATGCCGTTTTTATTACATTTAACCTGTACCGGCTATCCTCCCTTGCCCTTTTTTATCGTTTTATTTTTAGTTTTAATTATATGTGAGGCACTATTTTATTTATAGTAGAATATTGCCAAAGCTGTTGTTTTCTATAAATAGAGTTCTCTATAGTTGAGATCAATTTTATTATTTCTGTTTTTGAGGAAGAGAACGCTAAGTCATTCAAATGTGTTCTTGCTAAATTTGTTGTGGTGTGTGCAGTGCATGTACCAACGTTCGTGCAGGCTGCGTTGAGCGTTGGACTACTGCGGGAATTAACGATATTGCTGGAGATGGAACTCTAATTAGGTGATACAGATTTCCACTCCAACCAGTGAGGGATAACAGACCAGAATACTTTTTTGTTCGATAAATTCACCACATTTCGCCAGGAAAGATACATGAAATACGTGTTGTGTCAAATAAAAATTGTTGTCTGACACACTGATACAAATGCGCAATTTCAGAAGACAAATACATCATTTCAAGATTGAACCAGACATTTGTGTGTGTTTCCTTTTTCCTTTTTGTCACAGGAGCGGAGTCAGCCATGAAGGGGGGAGTAATCAAAGATATAGTCGGACAAAATAAACAACATCCAACTATAAGTTCGCGCTAATAACCGGAAGTATAACAGGACATCCAACTGTAGGTGGCGCTAGACTGCATCTGTATTCAGAGTTCTTAAAGTACAGTACAATTTAGATCACAGCTACATTTTAACATGTTTAAATATGGAATTAGTGACTAATTTACAATTTTCATGAACATACTGAGCAAACATAAGAAGTCAATATTAATAGTGTTCACAAAACACGTTCTATAACGTAAAGTTTCCACATTTTTACTGTCATACTTATAAAAAGAAACACATACGAATATTCTACCTGAACAATTTGATATACCGATATAAAAAGGTATTTTATTCTTCAGTAACATATGTGACCCCAAAATTGAAAAGTTGATGTTAAGAGAACTTGTCATCCCGAAGGCATGGAATAGTATTTTGGTGATGGGGTTGGCGCCATATTGGAGCAAACGCTAAGCATTTGTTGCTTTAAAGGCTGGTGATTGTCGCGCAGTGCGTGTTCGAATTTCATGTAAACACACAATATATTTTACACTCGTTGTGTATGTCGATATCAGTTCCATATCGAACACGACGCGGGATATATTTCATATTACAACCTGAGATTCTAATGTCATGAATTACATATAAGTCGTTAGTAAATTCATGTGTATTCTGACTAGTTAATTGTAATCACAAATGAAAACCGAATGATGTGTGTTGGTGTTAATTCAAACAATATTTTAGGAAAAGAAATTTAAATCACTATATAGTCTTACCTGTGTTTTCATTCAGTCTCATACATACATTCCCTGTTGTTGTGTATTGCCTGTATGTAGTGCTACTGTGTCTTTTTAACTTTTGCGCTGCGCGTTTAACTGCCATCATTTATACCCTAAGTATTTTTATCGATATTATCAACTAATCTCTTAAAATCCTTTGTGAGTGATAGCTAGTGTTTTTTTATATATATTTAGGATGGTTACAGTTACATCCTAAGTAAGTCCATGTAAATACAACTTGTAGGGCAAGAATTAATATTTACCTATCACGTTCGCCATCCACACTCGATGTACACTACAATGTAATTGTATATGTAATCTAATCATTTTGTGTAACCAAAATGTAGGTATTATCGGTTCTTTTTTCTTGTCATGATTTGTAGTTATTTCAACATTATTTGGATATTATGTTATTATCTGTCATTATTCAGTTTTGATATTTGATTGTCTCATATTTGGTTATCTCAGGGTTTGATTGTCACAACATTCTCGGACCTCATTAGCATGTCGCACCCATAAATCATTGCACAAAATGGCGCCAACTAAAGTTGCCATAAATGTCAGACAGTCGACCCTGGATTCGTCGACATGACAACTCCGACAGTGGGTTTGCAGACACCTTGAGGTCGAGATGTGATATTACAACTGCTGTAGAATTTATGTAGAATCCTGATCTTGGAGTCGGTCGTGCAACAGCGACATGTGTGTATCTAGCAAATGTCAATTTATCTAACGCTATTTTCAGCCAAAGATGGTAAAGCTAGGTTTAAGAATATAAACAAAACCCTGTATTATTATGATTTGCTGAAAATAGAAAGAGAGTAAAATATAAATATTACCCAGTTTACTAATGTTTTCAAATCTAAATGATACCCAAACAAAAAATAAATCAGGTAGTGGTGATGGTGAGGAGAAAAGCTAAACACATTCAATATCATAAAAATATAATTTTAATTGGAAAGTTTGGTTTGAACTTAGGCTCAGTGACCATAAACTGAGATTGAGTTCCGTCGAAAGAATTTTAATGAAGAGTAATTTTAGAATGCGCCAAAATTATGAAATTAAGGATAGTCTAATGTCAAAAGTGTCAGTAATCATTAGTATTACGTAGAGAGGAGCTAGCAATCTATTTGAAAAGCATAAAATATAAATGAAGAGAGAGGGGGACATAGGGTAAATTGTATTTCGTGTCAAGTATTTTAAACTTACAGTTCCTTTTTATTACTGATGCTATACGGCACCTCTTATGATACAATTAGTAAAGATGACTTATTAATATATAACAATCGGGTGAAGACCTAAATTAGTCACAATAATATGAAATACAGATTACAGAAATGTACATGAAAGTAGGATATTGCTGTAAATGTGTGGTAATATGATAATTTCGGATACTTTTATAAGAAATGAATTAGGTGTTGTGTTGACAAGATGTAATATATTTATTAAAGTGAATTACATGTTGTACTTAATTATTATCATAGTATGAACTGATAACAGCCTGCGATCATAGATAGGTTTCCATGCCCACAGATGTCATCTCTGCACTTCATTGGATAAGTATCTGGGTGATGAACAAGTGTCGACTTTTTACGTGAGGTAGCTGCTAGCAAGAGCAAATTTTGATTGGTTCATGTGGAAACCCTGAAGTTGGGCCATTTATGCCCATAAATTGGCTAGACTTAGGAGAGTTGTGGACCACCATTTCAACTGAGTACAATGTGTGTTGTTAACTTTTGCGCTGCACGTTTAACTGCCATCATTTATACCCTAAGTATTTTTATCGATATTATCAACTAATCTCTTAAAATCCTTTGTGAGTGACAGCTAGTATTTTTTTTATATATTTAGGATGGTTTCAGACAGTGTTTATACAGTTACATCCTAAGTAAGTACATGTAAATACAACTTGTAGGGCAAGAATTAATATTTACCTATCACGTTCGCCATCCACACTCGATGTTCACTACAATGTATTTGTATATGTAATCTAATCATTTTGTGTAATCAAAATGTAGGTATTATCGGTTCTTTTTTCTTGTCATGATTTGTAGTTATTTCAAAATTATTTGGATATTATGTTATTATCTGTCATTATTCAGTTTTGATA